TCAATTTCTTTCTCCTTTCTCTTTAGCAGTTCATTGTCTCTCTTCTCTTCCATCTGTTAACTTTGCCATTATGAATATTCTAAATTCTTTATCAGACTTTTCCATGATTTGCATTGAACTGCTTGTGGATGAAGAGGAGTTATTCTTTTCCCTTGGAGGAGGTATTTTCTTGCTTTCCCATATTTCTTGTGGTCCTGCAGTGATTTCTTGTCATCTGATGGATGGTATGTTTCTTTCAAATTCTTGAAGTTCAATCTGAGTGTTCAGGAGCAAGCAGAAAGAGGTGATCTGGACTCTCTTTGATCTGGACTCTCTTTGCCGTTCTGTTGTGATCACTGGTGCAGCATATTCAGTAGATATTGAGGAATGTTAACCCTAATAGTATTTTGATGTTTAGCTACAGTGCCCTTAGATCCATCTAGAAATACATTGAATGGATATTGAAGAGTGGAGAAACAAGAAAAAAGAAAATGAAAAAGAAAGAGAGAAACAACGACAAAGAAAGAGGGAAAAAAAGACCAAAAAATGAAAAAAATTGTAATTATTGTTTTTCTTTAAAAGAAAAAAAACAACAAAAAATTTAAAAAAAAAAATAGAAAACCGTGTAGGAGCCATGAGGAATCCTCTTCTGAAGGAAGGCCTCAACTCTCCTGCCTGGGCGGAAGGACCAGAGGAGATTATTAACAAAACAAAAGGTGGAGCTGAGAGCAAGAGAAAACCTTTACCTTTAAAAAAATCGTAAAAAGGAAAAATTACAAAAAAATGAGAGGACAGAAGCAGAGAGAGACAAAGTCATAGGCACAGAGGCAGAGATAGAAGGCCAGAGGGGCTCCCTACCACGCTAACTTTGTTTGCTGGAGGCTGAATTATCAGAAAATCTTCATTTTTCCTGTCCCCTGCAATGACTAGTTTGCAGGAGCCATGAGGAATCCTCTTCTGAAGGAAGGCCTCCTCTGGAAAGTATTCTTTATTTAAAACAAAAGAAGCTTTGTCTCTAAGGACATTTAGGGATCTCAAACAACACAGCCGCTCAAAACCTATCTGCTAGCTAGACTGGGCTTCTCCTGCTAAGTCACACATTGGCCACCTTTGTCCAATTCACAGTTTTTAAATTTTCTGTAAGTAGAATAGTCTCCATTTTAAGCTTTTCTCCTGTGGTTCCCCCCTCCTTAATTCCTTAATAAATAGGAAAAAATCAACCTTTTTTAAGCATGTATTTAAATTTCCTCTTAAACTCTTTTTGGGAGGTGGGGGCTACATGTTAAATTAACTGTGAGAGATGTTAGGGAAAATCTGGTTTCTATTGGAAAGAGAATTTTAAGATTCTGTTGGGGGAGAGTAAAGGGAAGTACATGATGTTGAAAAAATTTTCCTACAAATGGTTTGTTTTGTAAGCCATATTTTGTCCAATTAAAAGCAGTTGTGTCTTCCTTATGCCTGATTTGTAGGAGAAAAAGTGGTTTGGAGATGATGGCAGAGTCCTAGCACTGCCAAACCCCATCAAGCCGTACCCTACGAGGCCCCCAGTGCTAACAGCGGGACAGAGCATTAAAGAAGAACTTGAAACATTGTATAAAAAGGTAACCATTCCCCCAGTCCACTTCTAACACATAAAATTGAAAGTGCTTTGTGTTTAAATAGCTGGTACTGCTAAATTGTAACATTCTACTTTCATTTCTCTTAAATTTTCACTAAATACATTTACTGTCTTACACAGAAGAAACTTTAGATATGTTTTTGAGAATGAGTTAACTCACCACCTACTCCCTCCTTTAATCAGGAGTGTTTGTCCCGGCCAGGAAGGACCGAGTCAGCATCGTTATTTGCATGTCCAGGGTAGAGGGCCTTTCTCTTCTTTCCTCCCTCTTTTCTGTCATCTCACATATCTACACGGTCCTTTCCCACTTGTCTCTGTTATGTAACGGGAGCTTTGCTTTCCTTACAAATCCCTTTTACTATATTTTCCTTAGCTCTGGGACCAAGCTGCCTGATCTGAGCCCTCTCTCTACCCCTCATTGCGTGAGGTTGACCCTCAGTCCCTCTGTGCCTCAACTGCTCCTTCTGCATAACAGGCGTGATTATTAAATCACGTCCCCCTCCTAGGACTGCTGTGCAGACCGAATGAGGAGGTACGTATAAGTACCGGAAGTGGCTTAGTCAGCAAGAGCTATTGATAGAGTTGCTTGACCTTATTGTCAATTATATTGATTTTTCCTGCATCCCCTGGATTGCCTCCTTCAAGAAACCAAACAATTGTGACTATGTAACATTCTCTTAATAGCACTGATAAAAGCAGCAGGGTGAACAGCACCATGCTCATTCTTTTTTTTTTTTTTTTTTTTAAGAACAAACTAACACAAACTTGCTTGTACCACTTAACTTTAGAAGTCGTACAGCTTGTGAAGTACAGTTTTACTCTAGGACATTGTAAAATGAAGCTCATTTTTGGAGATAAGCATGTAGTTTTTCAGCCAAAATCTGAACTTTTTCTTGGGATATCAGAAAGATCTTTACCAGAAAGACTCCACTCATGGAGCTGGTTTTCATACCTAAAGATCTTTGTTGTAGCTGCAAGTTGAGTTTTGGGCCTACAAATGCACTACACTTTCCAAGCAAACTAAGCATAAAGGAGCCCTCTTCCAACGAAAACTTAAAAATTAACTAACACAAAGTTGTTTGTTCCACTTACTTAACTTTAGAAGTTGAGCAACTTGTGATGTTCAGTTTTGCTCTACATCAAGGTTTGGTTTGGGAAGCAGTTTTACAGTGTTTTTCAATAAATGTTTTCAAATGAAGCTTACTCTCGGGAGATAAGCAAGTAGTTTTTCAGCCAAAATTTGAACTTTTTCTTGGAATATCAGAAAGATCTTTGGCAGAAAGGCTCCACTCATGAAGCTGCTTTTCATACCTAAAGATCTTTGTTGTAGCTGCAAGTTGAGTTTTGGGTCTAAGAATGTACTACACTTTCCAAGCAAACTAAGCTTCAAAACATTCTTTTAGAAAGTACACATCAGAACAAACTAACACAAACTTGTTTTTACTACTTACTTAACTTTAGAAGTTGAACAACATGTGAAGTACAGTTTTGTTCTACATCAATGTTTGTTTTTTTTTGTTTGTTTTTCCTGATCATTATTATTATTATTCCAATTATTTTTTAACCAGTCAATCACTATTTCTCATTTTGCTTGTAAAAATGAAATACCTGACATGAAATACTTCTCAGACCAATCCAGTTGAGAATACTATACATGTCATCATCAACAGGTAATAAGCCGTATCTATGTCCTACTAATGTCATGCCTCTCTATTTGTTCTCTTGCTATCTTACTCTATCCTCTTCTCTTCACCCCCCCCACATTCCACACTGTCTTATCCTTATTAAGTATTTTTACTGCTTTTATGTCCTCCAATATTTCACTCTCTACCATAGAGTGCGGATAGTCAGTATATATTGAGTGGATACATACAATATCTTTCTTTCATAGCCTGGCTTACTTCATTCAGCAATAGATCCTCCATATCCAACCACTTTCTAGCAAATGCCAGGGTGTTGTTATTTTTTATGGCTGAGTAGTAGTCCATAGAGTGAGTATATATGCCACACTTTTCCAATCCATTCATCAGTTTGTGGACATTTAGGTTGGTTCCATGTCCTGGCAATCATGAATAATGCTGCAATAAACATTGATGTGCAAGCACTTTTCTGACTGAGCATTTTCCTGTTCTTTGGGTAAATACCCAGAAGTGGGATTGCTGGATCAAATGGTAGTTCTATTTGTAGATCTTTGAGGAACCTCCATATTGTTCTCCACAGTGGCTGAACCAGTTTACATTCCCACCAACAGTGTAGGAGCGTTCTTTTTTCACCACATCCCCACCAACACTTACCACTTTTTATGTTCTTAATCTTTGCCATTCTGACAAGGTTAGGTGGTATCTCATTGTGGTTTTGATTTGCATCTCCCTTATGATGAGTGATGTTGAGCATTTCCTCATATGCCTTTTGGCTATTTGTATGTCTTCCTTAGAGAGATTTTAGTTCAGCTCATTTTCCCATCTTTTAATTGGGTTAATCTTTTTTTTTTTTTTTTTTTTTTTCTTAAGGCCCT